CAGATGCCTCTCCTGTCAATAAATTGTTTTTGTGGGTTTCTTTTATTTAATTACCAGTTACATACATTATTTTTCCAGGAAAACCTTTCATATATACCCATCTATTTGTTCCATTCCTAATTTTATGACAGCTACCTTATTGTTACGCATTTGATATCAAATGTCTGTTTTTTGGGTACCTACTAATTCACTCATTTTTATGATATGTTTGTGACTTCAGAATTTTTTTCAAATCATCTCCACCTCACCCCACCCCACCCTTGGCTGAGGATCAAACCTAATGCCTTGTACCTGCTAGGCAAATGCTCTACTACTAAGCTATAACCTTGGCCCCTCACCCTCCCTTTTGTCCAAAGAAGAGTTGGGAAATAAGTGAATCAAGTGATAGGAAAACATATACATATCAGAATCAAGAAGAAATATAACCTCATCTTTCCCTTCTGAAAACCAATTGTGTGAATATGTAGTCCCAGCTGGCTTGGAACTTAATATGTAAACCAGACTAGCCTTAAACCCATAGAGATCCGCTGTCTGTGCCTCCCAAGTGCAGGGGTGAGAGGTGAGTGTCACCATGCTTGGCTTTTTTTTTTTTTTTCTGTTTTGTACATTTGCCCTTAGTATCCATAATGAAAACACAGCACCTTTAAACTTTACATAAACTCTACAGGGTTGTGTTGCTGTGGACTCCCTGGAGCATTTTGGAAAAGAAGTGAGCAGTTACAATATTGATGTTTTCCTCTTGCTTACATTAGATATTGAGGAGCTGATTCCTGAGAGAAGATTGGAAGCCTCTGAAGTTGAAATGTGTTACCCAGTTTTAATGAGAGTCAGGGTATCTGCCCAGTCCCTTCCTCTACCCACTGGTTCTCTCAGACTGTGGGAAAGGAACACTGATACTTCTGAGGTTTAGGAATAAATTGTATGGTTGGGGTACAGATTCATTTCTAAGCAAAAGCCAAACACCTTTCCCTCTAAAGCCTCTGGACAGGGCCTCATGCTCATGGTTTTCTCCTCCGGACATGCCTCGAATTCTGTGTTTCAGCTGCTGCCTCTGTGTGCTAGAAGGCAGATGACCTCAGCCTGGCACACACAGCAGCCTCTCTCTTGCCTGGCCCAGCTCTTCCTTCCTCCAGGCGGGGTCAGGCAGCAGATGTGTGCTAATGAGAGCTTTTCTTTGTTTACAGGGTTTGGGATGCTCTGACAGACAATTACATCCCTTCACTCTCAGAAGACTGGAGGGACCCAAACATTGAGGCTCTGAATGGCAACAACTCTGACACTGAGGTACCTCTGGGGGCGCGGCTATTTAGTCAGGGTTGGGAAGATATGGAATCCAGATAGAAAAATGTCCAACAACTCAATAGCCTTCTGAAGCAATAGTTCAGAGTCATTGCTGGGACTTTCACATGCTGTTGAGGAAGATAACACATGAGGTAGGAAGGAGACTCAGTGTGTCTGAGGTAATTGGGGTGGTTATGGATAAAAAGAGTAAGAATGGTGTCTTAGTTAGGGTTCCGATTACTGTGACGAGACACCATGACCACAGCAGCTATTATAAAGAAAAACATTTAACTGGGGCTGGCTTACAGTTCGGAGATGTAGTGCATTATCATCACGGCAGGAAGGATGGCAGCGTGCAGGCAGACAGGGTGCTGGAGAAGGAGCTGAGAGTCCTACATCTTGATCTGCAGACAGCAGCAGGAGAACTGAAACACACTTCCTCCAGCAAGGCCACGCCTCCTAACAGTGCCACTCCCTAGGGAGGCCATTTTTATTCACACTGCCACAGATGGTTACCCACTTCCCCAGGCTCCTCCCCTTCTTCCTCTCCATCTTTGTGGTGCTGGAGCTGGAAAGCAGGACCTTGTACATATTAAACACACTGCCAGTGACTGCACTCCCAGAACCCCTAATTACTTCCACTGCTGATCTTCATAGCAAGTTCGAAAAGAGCGACTACCTCAGGCTTCTCTTCAAATATATATATATATTTAATTTAAATAAGGTAACCAGGCATTCTGGTGGCATATCTGTAATCCTGGCACTCAGGAGGCTGAGGGAGGAGAGTTGCCACAAGTTTGAGCAAGCCTAGACTACAGCGTGAGATTCTAGTCTCCACAGACATACAAACAAAAACATTTTTAAGGATCAGGGTTTGCTGTCTGAAGTGAATAGCACAGTCCCATCAGAAGCAATGCTTTGAGCAAGCGCCGTCGACCTTCTAGCCTGCCAGTTAGAGCTAGGGCTCAGGTAAATCAGGTAACAATGGGTAGGGAGGTGTG